CGGTGAATTCGGGGGTCCCGGGGGCGCGGGGGCTGCACACGCTGGAGGTGGGGGGGAAGGGGCGCGCTGCGGTGCGAGGGGGGCGATGGGGGCCTCCCCCTCCGGCGATGCTGCGGTGATGGGGGCATCGTGCAGAGGAGGGGTCGGTCCGGGGTGACAGGACCCCTCGAGGAGGGCGACAGCCCTGCCTCAGTTTCCCCCAGTAGAGCGCCCTGGGCTGTCCTTTTACAGGGTGCAGCGGGGGGGCTCAGGATCCCCATCTTTGCAGCCCCCCATATCGAGCTGCACACAGAGATACCCCCATACAGTGCGTGGCCCCCTCCCCAGCCCCTTCCCTGGCGTCCCCCAAGCCCTGCATCCCCCCCAGGATATAAGGATCCCAAATCCCTGCAGCCCCCCCCAGCACGGGGGACCCCTCAGCTCCACCCCTGCAGATTTCAGGGCCTCCCCCAGCCTGCCCCATGCCCCCGCAGGATCCGGCCTCGGAGCCAGCGCCGCCGTCACCATGGGCAACATCTTCGGGAACCTGCTGAAGAGCTTGATTGGGAAGAAGGAGATGCGGATCCTGATGGTGGGGCTGGACGCTGCTGGGAAGACCACCATCCTCTACAAGCTCAAACTGGGGGAGATCGTCACCACCATCCCCACCATCGGTGGGTGGGGTTGGGGGGGCACTGAGCAGACACCGCTCCCCATCAGGGCTCCTTTGAAGGGGCTGGCAGCTCCCCGTGCCTCAGTTTCCCTCCGCTGTCGCTCCCCGCAGGGTTCAACGTCGAGACAGTGGAGTACAAGAACATCAGCTTCACCGTGTGGGATGTGGGTGGGCAGGACAAGATCCGGCCCCTCTGGAGGCATTACTTCCAAAACACCCAGGGTAGGTGTGACAGGGGACGCCGTGAGGGGACTCGGGGAGCAGGGTGGCCACAGAGACCCCATCAGTGCCCGCTCCTCTCCCCAGGGCTGATCTTCGTGGTGGACAGCAACGACCGGGAGCGGGTGAACGAGGCGCGGGAGGAGCTGATGCGGATGCTGGCGGAGGATGAGCTGCGGGACGCTGTCCTCCTTGTCTTTGCCAACAAGCAGGTGGGTCTGGGGGCGGGGAGGGCCCTGTGGGGGTACTGAGACATCTCCAGGCTGTTAGGGAAGCTATCCAGTGGAGAACTTCCTGTGGCATGAAGGCTGATATCAAAGAGGCTGTGTGACAGAACCACGTCCTCCCCTGTGGCATCAGGGATGGTGGTGGCCCCTGGAGCCATCCCCATGGCACCAGGGTTGGTCTTTAACAGCCCTCTGGCTATCCCTGTGGTGCCAGGGCTGGTGTCTCACATTCCCATGGCAGATTCCTGCTCCTTCCTGTAGCATCAGGGCTGATGATGATCCCCTGGGACAGAGTTGTGCCTGTGGTATCAGGGCTGATGCCAGCCCCCATGGAGGGGTCGTGTCCATTCCTGCAGTATCGGGCCCTTGTGTGACCTCCCTTGTCTGCTCCAGGACCTGCCCAATGCCATGAACGCAGCAGAGATCACGGACAAGCTGGGGCTGCACTCCCTGCGCCACCGTAACTGGTACATCCAGGCCACCTGTGCCACCAGCGGGGATGGGCTCTATGAGGGCCTCGACTGGCTCGCCAATCAGCTCAAGAACAAGAAGTGAGGGGGGGTCCCCCTGTGCCCCCCCGGCCCCCCTGGGCCGTGCCAGGGCCCCCCCCCGGCCGCCCCCTCCCTGCCCCGGTTGGGTTTTGCTTTCTTCTGGCACCGGTTGCTGTGGGGTTTTTCGCCTTTTTTGGGGTCCCCCTGGTTCCCCTCGGATCTCGTGTGTGCGTGCGTGGAATTAGAGCTCTATATAACGCCCAGGGGGGCAGGGGCAGAGCCCCGGGAGGGTGGGATGGGGGCTGGGGGGGCCACCTCGGCACTGCCCTGCCTGGGGGAGCCGGAGACACCCCATCCCCATGCATGTCCCTGCACCCCTCGCCTTCCTCTGGACCAAATGTGGGGGCAGCAGGGCCATGGGGGGGATTTGGGACTATACACCTCCCCCTCCCTCCCAGCACCCCCTCCCGGCCCCGTGTGCCCCGCCGGGCATCCCACACGTCCCCGGCCCCCCCATGTCACTTCGAGGCAGGTCTCCTCCCCGCAGCGTGACCCCCGAGGAGGGGGGGACACGGGGCTGCCAGGACCCCTGTGGTCCCCCTGGCCATGCCCCCCCTCCTCGCCCTGGCCGCCTGCCCCCCGCCCCATTCCAGCATAGTGATTGTATGTCCCTGCCCCTCACGGACGGACAGTGTCGTCCCCCCCCCCACCACCCCGTACTGTGCCCCCTCCTCCCCAGCACCGTATTTATACCCCTGGTCTGTGCTTGGTGTGACGTGTCGCTGCGGCTCTGCCCTGTCCAGGGACGTGTGTTCTCAGCCCCCCCCTAGCCCCCTGCGCCTGAGACGGTGGGTGACCTCCCCTGACCCCCCCCTTGGATATTAAACATGTTTTATGTAGTGCTGCTCCTCGTCTCTTCTTCCGCAGCCCCCCCAGCGTGGGGGTCCCGCGGAGGGGACGATGATGGACAGCCCCAGGCTGGCTTTAATTAGAAAGAGCTTAACGGGGCAGGGGGGGTGAGGTGGGGCTGGCAGGGGGTGAGGGCTCCCCCCCCACTTCCCAGGCTCATCTTTAGGGGAATATTGGATGAAATGGTAAATCCCATTAGCACTAATCCCAGCTGGGGCGTGGGGACGGTGCCAGTGCTGGGATGGGCGCGAGTGGGACTCGGCCCCCCGCCCCCACCCCTACCCCATTTCACCCCCCTGCGTGGGTTAAGGGGGACTGGGTCACATTTGGGGCCAGAGCTGCCATCCCATCCCCATGACCCTCTGGATTGGTGGCTGAGGGGCTGTTGGCCGTGTCGGTGACCAGGGTGTTGTGGTGGGGGGCTCCACCTGCAGAGCCAGCGCCAGGGCCTGGAATGGGGGTGACCGGGGCTCCCCAGTGGGCTGAAGGCTGGGGAGATGACATGGGGGAGCTCCAGTGCAGCTGGCCAATACCCCACAGTGGGCTGGGGGCCGTGGAGATGATACTGGGGATCCGAAGTGAGGATGACCGAGGCTCTGGGAGCTGCCTCGGGGGGCTGCAGTGTGGATGACCGGGGCTCCCCGGTGGGTGGGAGCAGCGGAGCCGGCACCGACGCGTTCCCACCGGCTGGACCGACGGCTTTGTGTGGCAAGGGCTGACCCGGCGCCCCTAATCCCATTAGCGCCCCGGGCCCAGCCGCCAGCCCGGCTTCCCCACCTCTCGGCAACCGAGGCTGGTATGTGGGTGCGCCGGTGGGGCCAGCGTGCCGATCCCGTCGTCCGGGAGCTGCACCCGGCGTCAACGTCGTCACCATCGTGGAGCTGCACCGGGTCCGGTGACACCAGTGCCGGCAATCCCCGCAGATACGGGGTGGAGATTCAGGCTGCCCACCGTGTGCCGGTGTGACCCCGCCAGACCGGGGGGATTCCCTGTGTTCCCAGCTCTGTCCTAGGGGCTGCGTATCCCCAGGCACAGGGACCGGGGTTCTGGGGCAGGTTCCGTCCCACCGGGCTCCACCGGCCCGTTGACCCCCCAGCCCGGGCTCAGAGCTCCGCTTCCCTTGTCCTGCACAGCCGGGGCTGGAAGAGCTGGGGAAGTGCCAGAAGAAGGAATGACCTGCGTCCGTCGTGTGCTGGAGAAGGATTCTGGACCCGGGGAGGGGTCCTGGGCCCCGGTGGGTGCCGGTTTCCCCGGGCTGTGCTGCCGCCTGCTGGCACTGGCGGCGCCAGGACACCGGGGCTGCACCCAACCGGTGCCTGGGACGTGTCCCCCGGCCCGGACCCCCGCCCAGACCCTCTGCCTCGACCCCCATTCTGACCGCTCGGTGTGGGCCGAAGCCGCCGGGACGGTCCCCGGGCAGGGGCGGACCCAGGTGCCGGCCGGGGTGCCCACGGAGCGCAGGCGCCCGCGTGGCACCGGGCACCGAGGCAGCGGCCGGTTCTGAGCATCTTTCTGTCCCCCAACTCGCTGGGGCCCGGAGAAGCTGCGTCCCGGGGCCGGTCTCGGTGTGGGGGCAGTCCCGGGGGCGGGGCCCGAGGTGAGGGGCGGTCCTGGTCCCGGTCCCCGTTCCTCCGCCGCCAGCCCAGCCATGCCGTTCCCCGCCGCGCTGCTGTTCCTGGCACTGCTGCTGCCGCCGCCGCCGCTCGCCCGCGCTGCCGAGAGCGAAACCGAAACTGGCACCCGGGAGCTACGGCTGGAAACGATCGTGAGCTCCGGGGGGGGGGACGGACGGGGGAACGGGGGCTGCGCGAGAGACACCGGGCACCGGGGAGCCACGCGGCCCCCTTGGGCAGGGAGCTGAGACTGGGGCGGGACCGGCAGGGAACGGCGGCACCGGCGGGACACGGGGCACCGGCGGGCTACTGGGGAGCACCGGAGAGCCCGGCCTGGGCACGGGTCGGGGGGGAGGAGGCACCGGGAGGCCCAGGCTGCGCCGGGGGGAAGCCACGGGGCACCGGGAGGATCGGGCTGCGATGGGAGGGCACCGGGAGGACCGGGCTGTGGCGGAGGAACGCGACGCACCGGGGACAGGGGACCCGGCTGGGAGTTGGGCTCTCGGAGCGCTGGGGGGACCCGTGGGCACGAGGGGTGCGTGGACCCCGAGGCGAGGGGGCCCCGTCCCGGTTCTCCTTGACCTCCCCGTTGCAGGTGCCCCCTCCCGAGGGCTGCACGGAGCTGTCGGCGCCGGGGGACACGGTGCACATCCACTACACGGTGCGGGCGGGCGGCGGGAGGAACACGTCAGCACTGCGCTCCGGCGGGCGGGGCGGGGGCCACCGGCACCGGCGCCGGCGGGGGGACCTCGGCCGGCTCCGGGGCGGTACCGGGGGTGGTACCGGGGTGGGCAATGGGGCGGTACCGGGGTTGGCAATGGGACGGTACCGTGGTGGAACCGGAGTGGGAGTAGGGGTGGCACCGGGGAGGGCATGAGGGCGGCACGGGGCTGGACAAGGGGATGGTGCCCTGGTGCCAGTGTGAGTGGCATGGGGACAGCCCCAGGATGGGCTCTGGGTGGCACCTGGAGTGGCACAGAGATGACACTGGGGCTGGCGTGGGACAACCCCAGTACGGGCATGGCTGGCACTGGGATCAGCCCGAGGATTACCTTGGGATGACCCCAGCACGGGGAGCGGTGAGAGTGTCCCAGAGTGACACGGAGTGTACTGGGACTGGGATCAGCACAGGGATGGCACAGGGGGGCTACAGGGACTGGACTCAGTACAAGGATGGCACAGGGGGGCCCCAGGGACTGGGATCTCCACCAGAGCAGCACTGGGAACACGCTGGCAGCCACATGGAGAAAGTGCCAGGGCTGTGTCCCCGGGGGTGACCGTGGCAGTGACTGTGTCCCCCACAGGGCAGCCTGGAGGATGGCCGGATCATCGACTCCTCACTGAGCCGGGACCCCCTCCAGGTGGAGCTGGGCAAGCACCAAGTCATTCCCGGTGAGTGAGCGGCTCAGGAGGAGCCGGATAGGGGGGTAACCAGGGTAATCCCAACCAGCCCCACTCACCCTCATCCCACAACATTACAGGTCTGGAGCAGAGTCTGCTGGACATGTGTGTGGGGTAAGTTGGGATGGGGGACATGGGGGTGGGAAGTGTCCCCACGCAGTGTCCCCACCACAATTTGTGGCACCAACACTCTCACTTTGGCAGGGAGAAGCGCAGAGCCATCATTCCCCCTCACTTAGCCTATGGCAAGCGGGGATCCCCCCCCACCATCCCAGGTGAGTGCAGCCCTCAGGGTCCCCGTAGGGTCTCTGTGGGGTCCCTGCTCAGGCTGTGCCCTCCTTGCAGGTGACGCGGTGCTGCGGTTCGAGGTGGAGCTGGTGGGGCTGTCCCGGGCCAGTTACTGGCAGAAGGTGGTGAACGATGTGGTGCCACTGCTGTGCCTGGGGCTGGTGCCGGCACTGCTGGGGCTCATTGGGTTCCACCTGTACCGCAAGGCCAGCAGCCCCAAGCTCTCCAAGAAAAAGCAGAAGGAGGAGAAGAGGAACAAAGCCAAAAAGAAATAAAAACCTTCCCCTTGGCATCTGTGGCTGCTCTTCCTGAGGCAGTGATGGGCACAGAGCAGTGGGAAGGGGCTGTGCACCCATGAGGTCCCTGCCTGCTCCAGGGCCTTGATGGGTCGTGTCAGACCTGAGCAGGAGATGACAGACTCAATGAATCCCAGAAATAAGACCCTGGAGCACATTTTCAGGCAGTCTTGCTCTTTTAAGGCATATCCACACAGTGACAGTCCCTGGAATCCCCAAACACCAGGCAGGTCCCTGGTCTGCCAGGGAGCTTCAGCTGGAGCTGGTGGAGCCAGGAATGGGGTCCTGGTGGTTGAGCCTTCCCCAGAGGCTCTCGGGGTGCACCATACCCAATGTCCCTGAGTGTGGCTCCCCCACAATGTGGGTCTCATTTCTGGGGATCCAACTTTTGCTTGATGGTGAGGAGGGGGTGGGGGTCTTTGGGCACCTTCTGGTTGGTTGCAGTCCCTGCCAGGTACTGCTGGAGCAGCCTACGCAGCTCCTGGTTCCTGTTTGTCAGGGCTGCCTGTGCCTTCTCCAGCGCCTTCTCCTCCAGCTTCACCTTGTTGAACCGCTGCCAGAACCGCTCCAGCCCCACGTAGTCCCTCATGGCCTGGGGAGAGGCAGAGGGGAGAGTTTGGGGTCTCCACTCCGCCCAAGCACCCAAGCTGGGTGATCCCCAGGGCCGAATCACAGCCCTCATTCCCTGTGGACTGCGGCGGTGCCTCCTCACCCGTGCCAGGGGCTCATCGGGGATCTCCTCCAGGACCCTGCGGGCTTTCTGCTGCTCCCCCTCGGCCAGTGAGGAGGGGTAGAAGGGCAGCACCTTCTCCTCCTCTGTCTCCAGCCTCCGGCACATCTCAGCCAGGCGCAGGATGCGCTGGGCCTGGGGGGAGGACACCAGGAAGGGCAGGTGGGAAGGGACAGCAGGACCCTGGGCACAGGGACATCCCCGCTTAGCACTGCCCAACTCACCTTCTCCACCACCTGCTGCAGCACCTTGAGGGTGGCACTGGACTGGCAAGTGAGCGTGACCAGGTGGGTGTGAGCCGTGGCCCCAGCCTGGCTGACCTGAGCCCGGAGATTCTGGAGCTTCTGGAGGGCGTAGTCCTTGTCATCCCGTAAATTTTGGGTCTGTTCTTCGCTCTCCTGCAGGTGAGCTGCGATCTGGCTCTTAGTGGTTGTAATCATGTCCTGGTGAAACAGAAGGTTGGGTATTGGGGAAAATTCCTTCTTGGAAAGGGTGGCCCACATTGGAATAGGTTGTTTAGGGCAGTGGTGGAGGCACCATCCCTTGAAGTGCTCAGAAAACACGTGGATGTGGCCCCTGGGGACATGGTTTAGTGGTGGCCTTGGCAGTGCTGAGAGAACAGTTGGACTTGATGGTTTTAGAGACTTTTCCAACCTCAATAATTCCATTATTCAATGGCTCAGGCACTGCTCCACAAACTTTTGGGGGGCCCCTGCTTAGCCCAGCCTGTTGTCACCACCTTGCCCTTGGTGGGTTGGACTTGATGGGTCTCAGAGGCTTTTCCAAACTCAAAAATTCCATGGAAAATGAGTGGGGAATGCGGGTGACCCCACTTCCAGCACCACCCAGCACCCTGCCAAAACCTGGAGCATCTGCAGCTTCGTCGCCTGTGCATCAATCTCACGGGAACTCTTCTCACATTTCTTCTTCAGCTCCTCGAACTCCACCTTCTTCCTCTCTGTGGCCTGGGCGTAGCTCCGCCGGGCCTTCTGGATCTGGTCCCACAGCACCTCCAGCCTGGCCACGAGCTGCAGCCGGCTGTACTGCTGGTCCTGCCAGCACTGGGGACACACGGGTTACACCCCCAAACCTCCCTTGCCACCCCTAAAAGCGCCTTGAAGCTCCCTTGTGCCCCCTGCCTTGTTTTTGATGTCATCCCGGGCGCTCTGGAAGTTCAGCATGGCCTCATGGTTGCTCCTGGCGTGATCCTGCTCTGAAGCCAGTGCCATGTCCTGCAGGCAGCAGCTTTCCCAGTCTTGCTGCTCCAGAATGGTCCTTCTGTGGAGACACATGGCAGGACAAAGGGTTTCTTCCCCGAAAGAGATGCTGCGGGGATCCCAGTGGGGCAAGGGGAGGCTCAATTCCATCCTAGGAGAGCCCACGGGTGCCACTGTCACCCCATTCCCCTTCTCCCCCTGAAATTCCACACCTCTCAGCCTCAAACTCGGCCTTCAGGGCGTCCACCTGGGCATTAAACCCCTCTTCCAGGTAGCCCAGGCGGCAGCGCTGGAGGTGCAGCAGTTGGTCCATGAGGTGCAGGTGGCTGCGCAGGGCTCGGTTCTGCTGCTCCTCTGCTTCCTTCAGGTCGCTGACGAGCGTCTGGGGAGTTTTGGGGGGTTCATGTGTGTTCCCTGGCACCCCCCCTCCCTGCCAGCCCCGCAGCCACCTCAATGACGCCATCCTTGCAGTCCATGACCCGTGAGAAGGTCTGACTGAGGATCTCGATGTCCTGGCGCAGTTCTTGGTCCTTGGCCTTGCGCTGGACCAAGCGCCAGAGCGTGTGGACCTTGTGGAGACCCCACATGCTGCTCTGCTCCTCGCGGGCCAACTTGTCCTGTGGAGGGGCAGTGAGAGGTGGGAAAAGGGCAGGAGTGGGGTTGGGGCTGCCTCTGGTAGCAGGATTGCAGCAGAACAGGGGCAGCCCCAGCCCTGGTGGGGATAAAGGGGGCGTTTTCTGGGGAAAGGTGGTTTGGGGGCTTAGGGGGGTGGAGTTTGGAGGCGACTGGGGGAGGCTGCAGTGGGGCCCAGACCTGCAGGAAGCGAGTGAGCAGTTCCCGCTTGGCTTTGGCCGCCTCCTCCTCAGCCAGCGCTTGTGTCTGCAGCAGCAGCAGCTCGGCCTCGGCCGCCGTGGGGGGCGTGGGGGCCACCGTGGAACGGGGCCCCGCCATGGCTGGAGAAAGGGACACAGTAGGAGGGGTCGGGGTCTGCGTGGTGGCCTCTCCACGGCCCCCCCAGGCCCGTTCCCCCTGCCCACCTCCAGCTCCCGCTCTAGCCCCCCCACACCATGGGGTACCCCCAGATGCCATAACCTTGTGGCCACCCCCGTCTCCCTCTCCAGGCTCCCCCAGTCCCATTTCCTTGCTCACCCCTAACTCCCCCTCCACTTGGGAGTACCCCCAGACCCCATCAACCCCTGCTCATCCCCATTTCCCCTTCCAGTGACCCCCCAGACCTGTTTCCCATCTCCCTCCTCAGGCCTCCCTCCAAGGCCCATTTGTCCATCTCCATCTCCACAGCTCACCCCCATCTAGGTTCACCCCCCTCCTTCCCCAGCTCCCCCAGCGCCCACCGCCCCTTGCCCACCCCCATCTCCGCCTATGGGGTCTCCCACCCCCCTTTGGGGTCCCGGCCCCGGTACCGGCCCCGGTGCCGGCCCCGCTCCCGCGTCCCTCCGGTCTCCCAGCAACGGCCGCTTCTGGTCGGGGGCGGGGCCTCGGCCGCACTTCCGCCCTGACCCGCACGGGCGCCCCCTGGCGGGCAAGAGCGCGCTCGCACCCCCACTGGGCGGGTCCCGCCAGTTCTGCCTCTCCGCCATTGGCCGGGGCTTCGGGATTCCCAACGGTGATTGGCGGGCGGGCGCCGCCGTGGGCGGGCCCTGGGGCCGGTGAGTATATAAGGGCGCTGCAGCGGCGGGGCGCAGGGCGGTGGGTGGGTGAGAGTGGGGGGTGTGTGTGTGCCGGCCGCCGCCATGCGGGAGCGGAGGCCGGCACCGGCCGCTCCGGCCCGGTGCAAGCTGGTGCTGGTGGGTGACGTGCAGTGCGGCAAGACAGCCATGCTGCAGGTGCTGGCCAAGGATTGCTACCCCGAGGTGAGCCCAGATCAGGGCACCGGGAACCGGCAGCGGGCACCGGCAAGCGGGACCGGGCGCTGACGCTCTCGGTGCCATTGCAGACGTACGTGCCCACCGTGTTTGAGAACTACACGGCGTGTCTGGCCAGCGAGGAGCAGCGGGTGGAACTGAGCCTCTGGGACACCTCCGGTACCGGGGGACACACGCGCGGTGCATGTTTGGGGGGCTGGCGGGGGCTCTGGTACCGGTGGAGCGGGGCGGGGGCTGCCCCGGCCCTGGAGGGGCTGATGGGGTTGTTTGCTGGGGAAGGTGATTTGGGGTTTCGGGGGATTGGGAGGCTGCAGTGAGCGGGGGGTCGCTGCAGTGAGATGTTTTGGCGTCCCGAGGGTGTTTTGGGGACCTGCAGCGTGGGGCGGGGGGGGGCGTTGGTGATCGTAGTGAGGTCTTGGTGATGTTTTGGGAAGCCGGGGGTGTTTTGTGGTCCCTGCGGTGGCGGAGGGGAGCTGCTGGGGGGGCTTCAGATCTGGGGTCATGTCCCTGGGTGCGCGGGGCGTAGGTACTCCCCAGGGACACACTAGGGGGTCACAGAAGGCTGAACCCCTTCCTTGGGGGGATCCCCGCACCGCTGAGCCCCCTCCGGGTGGGGTCCACGCTGCTCCCTGCGCCCTGCCTGTGGATGGGGTGAATTACGGGAGATCCCGGTGTTGTCCTTCCCTGGGCACCCCAAAGAGTTGGGGGGGTCGGGGCAGCCCTGCCCGGTGCTGCAGTGTCCCCCCTCTAGCGGGGGGGTCCCCGCCGGTCCCCGGTTGCCATGGCGATGCGCTGGCGCAGCCTCTTTGCTATTCTGTGCACGGAGCGTCTGGGCTGCGAAACCCCTCCGAGGCCTTTAGGGGGTCGGGGGGGGGGTGGAGGGGAGGGGCATCCCGGACCCCCCCACCCCACTGACCCCCCTCCCTCACCCCTTGCGCTGCGTCCCCCGCAGTCCCCGGTGCGGTGCTGGTGGTGGCTCCGTGCCCCCGAGGACCCCGAGAGGGTGGCAGCGTTTGCCACCCCCTCCTCCGGCTTCCCCCCCCACCCCGACACCCCTCGGTGCTGCCGGGGCTCCCCAAAATGGGGGGCGGGGGGAGCTGTTACATAAACACCGCGGAATCCATTTCCCGCTGCCTCGTGAATGCGACGTTGATGGGCTGCGGGCACGGAGGTGGCGTTTTGGGGGGGTTCCAGAGCTGTGCCCCCCTCCCCGGCACGAGGGGGGTCGCGTCCCTTTTGGGGGGCTCTAGAGCTGTGTGGCCGTCTGTCCCTTTTGGGGAGCTGTGTCTGTTTTGGGGGTTTCTGTGCCTTTTGCGAGGCTCTAGAGCTCGGTGTACCCACCTCAGGCACGAATAGGGTTTGGGGTTTTTTTGAGGGGGTCTAGAACTGTGTGTCCCCCTGTCCCTTTTGAGGTGCTGTGTCTGTTTTAAAGGACTCTAGGGCTGCGTTCTCCTGTCCCTGTTGGGGTTCTCCAGAACTGTGAACCCCCCATGCTGGACAGGAGTGGGGTTGTGTCTATTTTTGAGGGGTCTGTTCTTTTTGGGGCGGCTCCAAGTCAGTTCACCCCACCCCAGGCAGGAGGTGGCTTTATGTCTTTTGGGGGGGCTATGTCCCTTTTGAGGGGCTCCAGAGCTGTGTCCCTATGTCCTTCTTGGGGTTCTCTAGAGCCGTGAGCTGCCACCCTGAGCGGGAGGGGAGCTCTGTCTGTTTTGGGGGTCTCTAGAGCTGTGACCCCATCCCAGACAGGAATGGGGCTGTGTCTCTTTGGGGGGCTCTAGAGCTGCACCCCCATCCCGAGCAGGAATGGGGCTATGTCCATTTTGGGGGTCTCTGTCCCTTTTGGGGTTCTCTAGAGCTTTACCCCAAGCAGGAATGGGGCTGTGTCTGTTTTGGGGGTTTCTAGAGCTGTGCCCCCACCCTGAGCAGGACAGGGGGGCTGTGTCCCTTTGCCAGACCCCCTTTCCCATATCCCTGGGGTGGGGAGGCTGAGCAGTGACACCCCCTTTTCCCCCAGGCTCTCCCTACTATGACAACGTGCGTCCCCTGTGCTACAGCGACTCGGATGCTGTCCTGCTCTGCTTCGATGTCAGCCGCCCCGAGACCCTCGACAGTGCAGCCAAGAAGGTGGGGAGGGGGCTCAGGCCCCAGGACAGCGTCCCCGTGGGGTTTTGGGGGGCTCAAGGATGCGGGGACACCGATGCAGGGCGATCCCTGTGAGTTTTGGAGGATTTAGGGACACAAGAAGACTGACCCAGAGTCCCCGTGATGTTTGGGGGACTCAGAGATGTGGGGACACCAGCCCAGGGGGGTTCTTGTGAGGTTTGGGGGACTCACAGACACAGGGACACTGACCCTGTGGGGTTTGTGGGGCTCAGAGATGTAGGGGCACCAGCCCAGGGGGTCCCTGTAGGCTTTGAGTGGTGCAGGGGAACAATTTGGGGTGATCCCTACAGGGTTTGGAGTGCACAGGGACTTTGTCCTTGGAGGTCCCTGTGGGGTTTGGGGGCTCAGGAATGCAGGGACACGGTCTGGGGGGGGATTCTGTGAGGTTGGGGGACGTTGACCTGGGAGTTCCATCAGGGTTTTGGGGATTCAGGGCTGTTGGGACTCTGTCTTGGGAAGTCCCTGTGGGGTTTGTGGTGCCCAGAGAGACTGAGCCAGGGGTTTCCTGTGGGATTTGGGGATGCAGGGCTGGGGCACACTCTCCCTGGGGATCGCTTTGGGAGACTCAGGGACATGGGGACACTGTCCTGGGGATATTTCTGTGGGGTTTGGAGGGGCTCAGGGATGTGGGAACACTGTCCTGGGAATATTTTTGTGGGGTTTGGGGTGTGCTGACACATGGAGACACCAACCCTCTGGGGTGACAGGGAGAGGGTTTTGGGGTGCCCTGTCCCTGAGAGCAGCTCTGTGCCCTCACTCCTCAGTGGAAAGCAGAAATCCTGGATTATTGCCCCAACACACGGGTGCTGCTCATCGGGTGCAAGACAGACCTACGGACAGACCTGAGCACCCTCCTGGAGCTCTCGCACCAGAAACAGGCGCCCATCTCCTACGAGCAGGTCAGGGGAGCCCGGAGTAAATCTGGCTTTGGTGGAATCACGGGGGATTGGGTTTGGGGTGTCCTGGTGGTCTGGTGCGGGGGTGGATTTGGTGGGGTCCTGGTGTTTTCGGGAGGGTGGGGTTGGGGTGTCCTGGTGTTTGTGGTGGTGATTTTGGGGTCTCAGTGATCTGGTGTGGGGGTCAGTTTGGGGGGATCCCGATGTTTGTCGGGTGGGTTTTGGTAAATCCCATTATTTGCAGAGGGGTCAGTTTGGGGTGTCTTGGTGGTCTGACGTCGGGGTGCTTTTGCGGGGATCCCAGTGTTTGCACAGGGGTCAGTTTGGGGTATCCTGGTGTTTGTAGGGGTGATTTTGGGGTGTCTCGGTGGTCTGGTGTGGGGGTCAGTTTGGGGGGCTCCTGGCGTTTGTACAGGGGTCAGTTTGGGGTGTCCCAGTATTTGTGGGGGTGGGTTTTGGGGTGTCCCAGTGTTTGCACAGGGGTCATTTTGGGGTGTCCCGATGTTTGTGAGGGGTGTGTTTGGGGTGTCCTGATGGTTTGGTGCAGGGGTCAGTTTGGGGGGATCCCGGTGTTTGCACAGAGGTCAGTTTGGAGGATTCCGGCCTTTGCAAGGGTGGGATTTGGGGGATCCCGGCGTCTGTGGGGGCGGATTTGGGGTGTCCCGGTGGTCTGACACAGGGCTGTCCCCAGGGCTGTGCGGCCGCCAGGCAGTTGGGAGCCGAGGGATACCTGGAATGCTCGGCCTTCACCTCGGAGAAGAGCGTCCACAGCATCTTCCGGACCGTGTCCGGCATCTGTCTCAGCAAAGCCCCCCCGCAGCCCCCCCGCAGCCCCCCCCGCAGCCTCTCCAAGAGACTCCTGCACCTCCCCAGCCGCTCCGAGCTCATCTCCTCCACCTTCAAGAAGGAAAAAGCAAAAAGCTGCTCCGTCATGTGAAGGGGGGAAGGGAATGACCCCACACACAAACCTTTGGACCCCCCCCCAAGCCCCTGGAATGGGGTGGGGGGGCTGGACAGGGCCCTGGAGATCCCCCCACTAAAGGAAGATGGGGGGTGCTGCCCTCCCCTTGCACCATTGCCCTGCCAGCCCCACAGCCTGGGGGGCTGCCCCCGTGGGAGGGGGGGGCTGGGGGGTGTCTTCACCTGGTCCCCAACCCTGAGGGAGTCCCTGGGGGGTTTGGGGTGCACAGGACCCTGGGGAGATCAACCCGGGGGGGTTCCCTGTGGGGTTTGGAGTGCCCAGACCCTCAGGGACATAAGCCTGGGATGGTCACTGCGGGGTTTGGGGGACACAGGGACACTGTCCTGGGGATCCCTGTGGGGTTTGGGGTGCACATCATGGGACTCATCCATGGACTCATCCTGTTTTCTCCCCCTTTACCCCATCCCTCATCTGCTGCTTGGCCCTGGGGGACCCTGGTGGGTTGGGGAGGGGGGCTGTTTTATGGACTGTCTTTGGGGGGTGTCTCTGTTCCATGTCAGTGTTATTAAAAAGCTTATTTATTATCAGAAATATAACACCTACCTACGTGCAGCCCTGCCTGGCCCTATGTTTTGGGGAGGGATCCTGGTTTTTGGAGGGTGTTGGGAGTTTCAGGGTGTGTTGGTGTCACTGGTGATGGTGACACCGACGCGGGCCTGTGCTGTCACCCCTGGGTGCTGGTGCAGAAGGCAAAATCCCTGGGGTGATGGGGTGTCTTTGGCAGGGTGCCAGAAGGGTCCCCCCACCTCTTCTGCTGCCCCCTGACTCTGCCTGGGACCCCCCTATCTTGTGAATGGGGGTCTGGGGCTCCTGGCCGGACACTGATCTGGGGGTCCCTGCGATTCTGGGGTGCACAGGGCTGTGGGGACCCTGACCTGGGGCGGTCCCCGTTGGATTCGGGGTGTGCAGGGACATGGGGGACACTGACTCGAGAGGGTCCCTCCAGGATTTGGGATTCTCTGGGCGGCGGGGATACGGCCCCGGCGGCCTCACCTGGGTGCGCAGGAGGTCCCTGAGGGATGTGGGGGGCTCAGGGAGGCGGGGACACCGTCCCGAGGGACTCTTTGCAATAGGGCGGGGGGAGCGGCCGCGCAGCGGAAGGATCACGAGGCGCGGCGGTACTGCGACCGCGCAGGGGCGCTGGGAACGCGCGGGGGATGCCGGGAACTGTAGTCCATTGACGCGAGGGCTGCCGGGAGCCGTAGTCCCGTAGTGTCCCGGCATGCCCTGCGGGCCCGGCAGATATGGCGGCGGCGCGGCGGCGCTGAACCCGGAGCCGCGGCGGTGAGCGGAGAGCGGTGGGAGTGAGCGGGGGCATTACAGGAACACCCGGGGGACCTGTTCGGGGCCCAGGGCCTGGAGAGCCCTGGTGCCGCCGCACCGGGCAGTGCCCCGGTAGTGGGCACCGCGGCAGGGCCTGCAGCGCCGTTGCGCCGCTTCCCCCGCGCCTCCCGGAGCCCTTTCGGGGGTCCCCCAGGCCTTCCCGCGCCCACCCCCTCCAGCCTCCCTGTGCTCTCTCGGGGTCCCTCCTTCCCTCTGCGTTCTCTGCTCGGGGCCCCCCAGCCCTTCCCGCTCTTTCCTGAGGTTCCTCTGTGCCCTCTCGGGGATCCCCCAGGCCTCCCCACTCCTTCCTCAGGGTCCCTTTGCACTCTCCCCGGGTTCCCCAGCTCTCCCTGCTTGTTTTTGGCGTCTGCCTGTTCCCTCCCCGGGTCCTTCAGCATGTCCCCATTCCCTCGCGAGGGGTTTTTGGCCTTCTTGGGGTCCCTCTGTGGCTCCTCTGGGTCTCACAACCCTTCTCTCTCCCTCCTGGGTCTCCACTGCTGCTCAGTGCCCTCCCTGGGGCCCCCATTTAGCCCAAGTTCCCTCCCAGCCCTGCGCGCTCCCTCTGCACCCCCCGACCCCCCCCGCTCTGACCCCTCCCCACAGATGGCCGGAGAACTGGCGGACAAGAAGGATCGGGATGCATCCCCGGTGAAGGAGGAGAGGAAACGTTCCCGCTCCCCTGACCGGGAGAGGGAGCGGGACCGGGACCGCAAGAGCTCCCCGGCCAAGGACCGGAAGCGACACCGATCCCGGGACCGGAGACGGAGCCGCTCGCGCTCTCGGTCCCGCTCCAAGTCCACGGAGAGGTGAGGCGGGTCCAGGGCTCCCTGGGTTTTTGGGAAGAGCTTTGACAGCCTCACAGAGGGTGAGTGAGAGCTCTGGGGCCATGCTGTGATTCCCCCCATTCCTCAGGGATCGGCGGCACAAGGAGCGGGACCGTGACCGCAGCAAGAAGGAGCGGGACAGGGACAAGGATGGGCACCGGCGGGACAAGGACAGGAAGCGATCCAGGTGGGTCCTGTCGCTTTTTTAGGGATTCTCACTGTCCTCTAAATCCCCTGGAGGTTGGGGATCCCCTAGGGCTTTGTCTGGTGTCTTATTTCGCGCTGTTTTCCTTGCAAGTTTGTCCCCGGGCAGGGGGAAGGACTCCAAGTCTCGGAAGGATCGGGAGGCACGGAAAGCAGAGGAAGAGGAGGAGAATGCCCTGAAGAAGGAGAAAGTGAGGAAGGGGTGGATGGGGCTTGGCTGGGAATGGTGCTCCAGGGAGATCCAGGTCCCTGGCGAATGGTTCCAGGGGATTGATTCACATCCCTGGGAGTGGTGCTGACATCTCTGGCCCCACTTCCAGGCACAGCCACTGTCCTTGGAGGAGCTGCTGGCGAAGAAGAAGGCAGAAGAGGAGGCAGAAGCCAAGGTGGGAGCAGCAACAGGAGCCTGTTCCCTCTGCTGGGGGTGTGGATATTTGCAGGGACACCTCGGGGGGGGAATAGGGAGGGCTGGGGACTTGGGGATGCAGAGGAACCCCAGAAGGAAGCTGGGAGTGCCAGGGAACACTGGGAGGGATCATGGGATGGAGCAGGGAGGGCTGGGGGACTTCGAAGGGTGCAGGGCAGGTGGGCCAGGGAGGGCACATGGGAGGCTGTGGAGGCACAGGAGGGAGAGGGGAGGCTTGGTGGACCCCCAGGAGGGAGCAGAAGGACCATGGGAAGGAACAGGGAAGGCTGAGGGGTCTGGTGATGGGCACAGAGGGACCCTAGGAGGGAAGGGAGGGCTGGGGGACACACGGAGGGAGCAGAGAGACCCCTGGGAGGGAGTGGAGAGGTCTGGGGGATCCTGGGAGTGCGAGGAGGAACCCGGGAGGGAGAGGGGAGGCCTGAGGGTTCCCAGGAAGAAGCAGAGAAGGCTGAGGGGACCCTCAGCAGCACGGAGGTGGCAGCCAGGCCCAGTGTGACGCTGCCTCTCTCTCATTCCAGCCCAAGTTCCTGTCCAAGGCGGAGCGGGAGGCCGAGGCCCTGCGGCGGCGGCAGCAGGAGGTGGAGGAGCGGCAGCGGCTGCTGGAGGAGGAGAGGAAGAAGAGGAAACAATTCCAGGAGATGGGCAGGAAGATGCTGGGTAAGGGCTTATCCCTGGAGCCCCCCCACCCAGCCCTCGGGGCTGGTGCTGGCTCTGAGCCCCTTCCCCTGCTCCCCAGAAGACCCCCAGGAGCGTGAGCGTCGGGAGCGCCGGGAGCGCATGGAGCGGGAGACCAACGGCACCGAGGACGAGGAGGGCAGGCAGAAGATCCGGGAGGAGAAGGACAAGAGCAAAGAGCTCCACGCCATCAAGGTGGGGCTGGGGGCTGGGCTGGGGGGGCCGAGGGGATGATGGGGGGTCCCACTGAGCCTGGGGTCCTGCAGGAGCGGTACCTGGGGGGGGTGAAGAAGCGCCGGCGCACGCGGCACCTCAACGACCGCAAGTTTGTGTTTGAGTGGGATGCATCAGAGGACACGTCCATCGACTACAACCCCCTGTGAGTGCTGGGCTGCCCTTAGGGCTGGGGGTGTCCCTGCAGGGTGCAAGGCAGCCCCCAGCCCTGCTCCTGACGCTCCCACTCTGCTCCAGGTACAAGGAGAGGCACCAGGTGCAGCTGCTGGGCCGCGGCTTCATTGCCGGCATCGACCTGAAGCAACAGAAACGGGAGCAGTCGCGGTTCTACGGGGACCTGATGGAAAAGAGGCGGACGCTGGAGGAGAAGGAGCAGGAGGAGTGAGGCTTTGGGGAAGCTGGGAGGGTGCTGAAGAGTGTATGGGGTCCTGGCTGGCTTAGCTTGGCTGGGATGTGGAGCTGGGCTGCAGCAGGTCCTGCAGGAAGTTGGCAGAAGGGTTTTAGAGGCACAGGGTGAGCCTTATCCCTTATTTCCTTCCCCTTCCTCACCTTCCTTATTCCCTTTTGACATCCCTTTCCTCGCTCTACCCTCATTCTCCTTTCTCATCTCTCTGTCCTCGTTCCCATTTCTCCCATCCCCTTTTCCTGTCTCATTTCTCCCATTCCCTTTTCATTTTCCTTTCCCTATCCCGTTTACCCCATCCCACTTTCTCCCATTCCCTTTTCCTATCGCTTTCTGCCCATCATGCTTTCCTTGTTCCTCTCCCTTTTCCCCATCCCACTTTCCCCATCTCTCTCCCCTGTCCCTTTCCTCCCTCCCTCCCCTTCCTCCGGCCAGGGCTCGGCTTCGGAAGCTGCGGAAGAAGGAGGCCAAGCAGCGCTGGGATGACCGGCACTGGTCCCAGAAGAAGCTGGATGAGATGACGGACAGGGACTGGCGCATCTTCCGCGAGGATTACAGCATCACCACCAAGGGGGGCAAGATCCCGAATCCCATCCGCTCCTGGAAGGACTCCTCCCTGCCCCCCCACATCCTGGAGGTCATTGACAAGTGTGGATACAAGGTGGGCACGGAGAGGGGCGGCTGGGGAGGGGGAAAAGGAAAAAGGATTCAGAGAGAGGGAACGGGGGAAGTTCTGTTCCCAACCTGCTCCCCCCGGCAGGAGCCGACCCCGATCCAGCGCCAGGCCATCCCCATCGGGCTGCAGAACCGGGACATCATCGGCGTGGCCGAGACTGGCAGCGGCAAGACAGCGGCGTTCCTGATCCCACTGCTCGTGTGGATCACCACCCTGCCCAAAATCGACCGGTGCGGGGCGGGACACTGCCCGTGGCACGGGGTGGGGTGACACTGCAGGGTGGCACTGTGGAGGTGACAGGAGAGGGTGACAGGGTGACACTGCAGAGGGGTCGGGACAGGGTGGCACTGTGGAGGTGACAGGGTGACACTTAGGGGATTGAGGCAGAGTTACAGGGTAACAGTGCAGTGGCAGGATGATACTGCAGAGAGGTTGGGACAGGGTGGCACTGTGGAGGTGATAGGATGGGGTGACAGGGTGACATTGCAGAGGGATTGAGGCAGGGTTACACGGTGACATGGCAGAGGGGATGGGGTGACACTGGAGGGCATCTACGTGGCACCGTGGGTGACACAGCCATATCCTGCCATGCTGCAGCATCGAGGAGTCAGACCAGGGGCCCTACGCCATCATCCTGGCCCCCACCCGTGAGCTGGCACAGCAGATTGAGGAGGAAACCATCAAATTTGGGAAACCCCTGGGCATCCGCACCGTGGCCGTGATCGGTGGCATCTCCCGCGAGGACCAGGGCTTCCGGCTCCGCATGGGCTGTGAGGTGAGTGGGGGGCTTTGGAGGGGATCCAGGGGGGTGGCTCAGCCCTGGGCTGCTCCCACCAACCCGCCCTGGCCCCCCAGATCGTCATTGCCACTCCGGGCCGGCTCATTGATGTTCTGGAGAACCGGTACCTGGTGCTGAGCCGCTGCACCTACGTGGTGCTGGACGAGGCCGATCGCATGATTGACATGGGCTTCGAGCCCGACGTGCAGAAGATCCTGGAGCACATGCCCGTCACCAACCAGAAACCCGACACCGACGAGGCCGAGGACCCCGAGAAGATGTTGGCCAACTTTGAGTCTGGAAAGCACAAGTACAGACAGGTGGGTATGGGCAAGGGGGGGGCTAGGAAGGCTCCTTTGGGGCTGGGAGGGACAATTTGGGTTTTTGGGGAAAGGATTGAGGGAATGGGAGTCACATTTCTGCTCTGTGGAGGAATGTTCCTGCCCCACAGTGGATGTTCCTGCCCCATGAGGGGTCATTCCTGCCCCCCAAGGGGATATTTTTGCCCTATGGGGGGCATTTCTGCTCCATGAGGGACAATCCTGCCACACAGGAAGCTATTCCTGCTCCATGGGGGAGCATTCCTACCCTTCTGGGGTCATTCCTACCTCATTGGGGGTTGCTTCTGCTCCATGGGGAAAGTTCCTGCCACACCAGGATCGTTCCTATTTCCTGGAGGGATGTTTCTGCTCAATGGGAGGACATTCCTGCCCCACTGGGGTCATTCCTGCTTCACTGAGGGATGTGCCTGCCCCATGGGTGATGTTCCTGCTCCATGGGGGGGGGGACATTCCTGCCCCATCAGAGTCATTCCTACCTCACTGTGGGATGTTCCTGCTCCGTGGAGGGATGTCCTTCATGGGGGACGTTCCCAGCTCACTGCCCTGTTCCCTTGCAGACTGTCATGTTCACGGCCACCATGCCACCAGCAGTGGAGCGCCTGGCCCGCAGTTACCTGCGGCGCCCGGCCGTGGTTTACATCGGCTCCGCCGGCAAACCCCACGAGAGGGTGGAACAGAAAGTTTTCCTCATGTCCGAGTCCGAGAAGAGGTGGGGAGCACAGGATTTGGGGATGGCCTTGGGGGTTGGAGGGTGAAGTGGGCCCTCTGCAGGGTTCTTCAGCATCTCTTTGCCCAGCTATCTCTTCCTCCTCTTTCTCTTCTACAGGAAGAAGCTCTTGGCCATCCTGGAACAGGGCTTCGACCCACCCATCATCATCTTCGTCAACCAGAAGAAGGGCTGCGATGTGCTGGCCAAGTCCCTGGAGAAGATGGGGGTGAGTCTGGACTGGGGGGGGGTCACCCTGAGCCCTGTGTCCCTTGTCCCCACGGTCCAACACCTGGGGCTCCCTGATGTGTCCTCTGTTGACCTCCCCTGTTCCCACAGTACAATGCCTGCACCCTGCACGGTGGGAAGGGCCAGGAGCAGCGAGAGTTCGCCCTCTCCAACCTCAAGGCCGGGGCCAAAGACATCCTGGTGGCCACGGACGTGGCCGGACGTGGCATCGACATCCACGACGTCTCTATGGTGGTCAACTACGACATGGCCAAGAACATCGAGGGTGAGGCTGGGGGGGCACTGAGGGGGTGCCCAGCTCTGGTGCTGCCTGTGCCGGTGGGGCTGTGGGAGATGTGCTGCCCACGCTGGGGATGCTTGGCCCTGGTGTTACCTGCACACCTGGAGGGGCTTTGGGGGGTTGCCCAGCCCTGGTGCTGCCACGCTGAAGAAGCTGTGAGGTTTCCCAGGCTTGGTACTGTGTGTACAGGGCGTGCCTGGCCCTAGTACTACCCTCACCAAGGGGCTTGCAGAGGTGCCCAGCCCTGGTTCTTGGGACCGAGGGGATGCCCAGCCCCAGGGCTGAAGATGTGAGGGGTGCCCAGCCCTGGTGCTGCCTGTGTCAGGGGATGGAGAGGGTTCCTGGCATTGATTCTTGGGGGTGGGGGCGTGCTCAGCTTTGATGCTGCCTCACCCAGGGGGCTGTGGGGGCGTCTGTTCTGGTTACTGGGAGTGCAGGGAGTGCCTGGTCCTGATACTGGGCGTGCAGGGGGTGTCTGGCCCAGGTTCTGATGGTGTGGGGGATGCTTGGCTCTGGTACTGGCGGTGCGTGGTGTGCCCAGCCCCAGTGCTTCCACACCGAGGGGGCTGTGGGGTGCCCAGCCCTGGTACTGGGAGTGCAGGGAGGGCTTCAGGGAGTGCCCAGCCCTGGCACTGCCCACACTGAGCCCTTCATTTTCCTCCCGCAGATTACATCCACCGCATTGGGCGGACAGGCCGAGCAGGGAAGAGCGGTGTGGCCATCACCTTCCTCACCAAGGAGGACTCCACGGTGTTCTACGACCTCAAACAGGCCATCTTGGAGAGCCCCGTGTCCTCATGCCCCCCCGAGCTGGCCAACCACCCCGATGCCCAGCACAAGCCAGGCACCATCCTCACCAAGAAGCGGCGGGAGGAAACCATCTTCGCCTGAGGTCCCACTGGCCCCTCTTTGTCACAACAGGACCAGCAAGGCTGCCAGGACTGCTCTGGCTGTTCTTTTCCCAGCTCTTTGTGCAACCCAAGGACTGCCCACAAGCAGAGACTGGCGCTGGGATTATCCCAAAATATCCCCCCTGTTCTCCCGGTCCCCCTCCCCACTTTCCCCATGGAGCGGAGGAGTTGCTGGAGGCTGTTTGGGGGCCGGTCCCTCCCTGCTGCCAGGGTGGGGCTGTTTTTTGGGCTGTTCTGGGAACTGTCTGCACCTCATCCTTTGGGTTTTTGGTTTTTTTTTTTTGTAGCTGAAGCTCCAGGCTGCAGGGAATAAACCGGCAGCGGTGTTACCAGCGTTGCCTCCTCGTCCTCTCCCTTGCCTGGGTGCCATTGCCTAGTCCCTGGGTGCCACCTCCCGTGGGGACAGAAGCCAGCAGTGCCCAAAAGGAGCACTTTGAGGTGCTCAGCACCCACCATCACTGTCCCTCCACCCCCCAGACCAGGTTCCCCCCATGTCCCCTCCACAGACAACGGACACCAGCACCTCTGAGTACTCGTGTGTTTCTGAAACCAGTTACAGGGAAATCAGTGCTTTCTACAAAAGAAATTATAACAAATCTGTGGCCCCCAGCCCATTCCCCCCCCTCCCCACCAATAATGGCCGCGGGGGGGGCTCAGCCCACGCCAGGACCCCCGGCCGAGGGCAGTGGGTGCCGTATTTACAGGACTGTGGTGACGTGCGGTGACAGCGTGGGGACATCAGGGACAGGGCAGTGGGTGCAAGCATGGAGCAGCCCCCACACCCCGTGCAGGCCCCCCACTCTGTCCCCTCCATGCCGAGGGGCAGGAGCGGTGTGGCTGCGGTGACCGGGGCGGGGGAATCGGTGCAGAGCGAAGTGAGTGGTGTGACCCACTCCTCCCAGGGGTCCCATGCAGGGGTGGGGAGGGGTCAGGCCAGGTCCCGGGGGTGAGCAGGCACCTTCCCTTTCTTCCTCTGTGTGGGGTGGGGGATGCTGCTACAACTGCCCCCCCTCCTTACCTCCCCTTTTTGAGGGGGGGCACCCACTGTCCATGGCAGCTGCCCTGCCGAGAATGAGCCGACCTGTGATGCAGAGCCCGGGCTGGGGGGACACTGAGGCAGGGCGAAGGCATGTGTCTGTCCCCAGGTTCCCCAAAACTTTGGCGGGGAGTCCCAGGGCATCCTGGCCGCCGGGCCCCCCCGCCCCCGCTGTGCTTATGGCTGAAGACGTGCCCGGGGGGCCGGGCGAGAGGAAGCTGCCGGTGCGGAGTTCGATTGTCTGAGCACCCCCAGCGCGGGGCTGGGGCGAGGCGAGGACCGCCCGGGGTTTGGGGGGGGCCGGTTCCCAGCCGTGCCCCCCCCACCCCACCCACCCCACCCCTAATAGCTGTCCTTGGCCCAGGGCCGGCTGCGCTGCCAGTTCCTGTCGTGGTTGCGCTCGCTCGGGCGCTCCGGCGTGCCGGGACCGCTGCCGTGGTGCCGGTGGGGCTGGTACAGGTCTGGGTAGGGGTCTCCGTACTCCTCCTCCTCCTCCAGGTGCCGCGAGCTGCGCTGGGATGTGGCCCCCCAATGCTGGGGCGAGGTGTCCCCCGCTTCATCCGATGGCATCAGGCTGTCGTGCTCCAGCGGCGAGTGCTCGCCCCGCTCCCCCAGCAGCTGCTGGCTCTGCGGGCAGGGAGGGGCTGCGGGGGCGGCGCGGTGGGGGCTGCGTGTGCCCCTCCCCGGGCCCTGGCACCCTGTGCTGGGTCCCCGTGGGGAGCAGGGAGGGGGCTGGGGAGCAGCCTGGCCACCCAATGCTGGTCGCCATAAGGAGCACGGAATGGGGCTGTGTGTCCCCAGTTCTGATCTGTGCACCCCCCACCCTGGTCATGGACCCCTGTACCAGCTGCCCGTGGGGAGCAGGGAGGGGGCTGTGGGGACAATTGTGGGGGGTTCCCCAACCCCAGCACCCCTGGGCTGAGTCCCCATGGGAGCAGTGGGGGATTGTGTGTTCCCCCCATGCCCTCCCCCAGTGGGGAGCAGGGAGGGCCCATGGGGTTACCTGCAGGCCTGGCAGTCCGGTGGGCGAGGGGACAGCGTGGGGGGCATGTGGTGGGTGATGCGTGGCACGCCAGTAAACCTCCAGGTACTCAGCCAGGTGCTCACAGGCATCCTCCAGCTGGTTCTCATCCAGGATCACATCAAAGAGCTCCTGGGGGAGCAGGTGAGAGGGGTCAGGGAGGGCTCCGGGCTCCCCCCAGGCATCCCCAGGGTGGAGAGTCTGGCTGGCTCACCGGGGGACACTGCACCAGCTTGTCAGCTGCCATCATCTGCACATTGAGGTGCTTCACCTGGGACTTGCCCCTGGACTTGATGAGCCGCTGCAGGACCTGCGGAGGGGACAGGGAAGTGACAGCACCACGGGGGGCAGCCAGGACCCCCAAGAACCGTGGTCACCCCTCACCTTGGGGGAGGACACCTTGACATAGACGATGATGGGTGCCAGGGAGGTCTTGGCCAGCTGGGCCGGGTGGTTGATGGTGTCAGCGTCCAGCACCACCAGCTGCAGGGACTTGGCCAGCTCGAAGATGCGTTCGATCTCACTCTGCACCTCGGCTGGGGGGACACGGAGGGGGCTGTGTCAGGCTGGGCTGGCCCTGGGACTGGGTCCCTGCACCCCCGGGGTGAGCCTGGCCCCTCACCAATGCTCGATCGGGTGGTGGAGCGCTCCAGGATCGCCTGCTTGCCCAGGTTGTTGAGGATGGAGCGCTTGGCCAGGGACAGGTCAGCTGTGATGTGGGTGATGGAGATCCTGGGGAGCACAGGGACACAGTGGGCACACGGGGACCCGCAGGCTGTGGAAGGAGGAGGGTTCTGGGTGGGGTCATGGTCTCACCTGCCGTCGAATCTGTGCTTGAGGAAGTCGAACAGGGCTTTCTGCATCATGTCGGTGACCTGCCGTGGGGCCGCCAGCCCAGTGAGCCACGGCAGATGGCACCAGCAGGGAGGTGGCAGCCACTCAGCACCCTGCCAGCCGCCCTTGGCCCCGCCATCTGCCCGCTGCCAGCACACCATGGGCAGGGAAGGGACAAGGGGCACAGGCCACCACCCGGAGGGCACAACGAAGCCACCCTGCATCCCCCCCATACCTCGTATCCTTTCAGTGAGGGCCCCACCAGCACCACGGGCCGCATGGAGGGGACCACATCGTAGGGTGGGATGTGCTGCGTCTGCAGGGGTACACGGGGGGGTGTCAGTGCCCTGTGGTCCCACAGCCATAAAGGTGTCAAAGAGCCCGTTCCAGAGAGTCACAGCATCCTGGAGCCCTCCCAGCCCCATAAGCAGGGAACAGGGGTCTCTGCTCCCAGCCCATCCCAGAAACAGCCACTATTGGCCCTGCCTGCAGCCCCCTCCTCACCTCCCCATGGCCAGGGCACAGCCCTGCACCTGGGACTCACCTGCTTCTGCTTCTGCTTGGCTTGGGGAGAGAAGAGACAGAGGTTGGTGACAGTAAAGTGGGGACCCCCTCAGGATGCCCACGATCCCCCTGGGCCAAGATCTACCCTTACCTAAGGAGGGGGGAGGCGATCGCCGGCTCCCGCTGTCGCCGAGGCCTGAGGCATTGCCAGCTCTCCTGGGGAAGAAGGGGGTGAGCGAGTGTTGGGGGTCCCAGGGTGGGGCCAGGGGGTCCCATCCCTACCTAGCTTTCTGCTCCTGCTTGAGCCTCATGGCTTCCAGGCGCTGGGGGCTGGGGATGAAGGCGATGTCCCCCCCCTCCTTCACTAGGCGCCCGATCCACCAGTCATTGCTGTATTTCTGGGTGAGGACAGGGCAGAGGTGAGACCAGGGGAGGTCCCTGGCCCTGAACAGACCCCCCAGCACCCCAACTGACCTCCTTGATGTGCAGGAAATCTTTGGCTTCAAAGTTGATGGCGGCTCCCTGCACTGGGCACTCCTCATCCAGCGCCCCGCAGTAGCTGACATTGGTGCGCACAGCAAAGGCGACCGGCTTGTGCTAGGGGTTTTGGGGGGTGATCAGCACCCCCGGGCGCTGGAAGCAAGCCCGGGCCGTGCCTTGGGTGTCTCCCCATCCATACCTTGGCCCTCTCGAGCTGCTGCTGAGCCTGGCTCTCCACCTCGCGCCGGGCGCCCTCACGGTCCTCTTCCAGGGACACGTCGGAGTCCAGGGATGGGCGGCTGGTGTAGGAGTCCGCCGAGCCCTGGGGGAACGGGGCGGAGTGCCGGGGGGCTGTGAGGGGAACCCCCACAAAGCGGGACCTCGTGCTGAGGCAGTGCCAGCCTCGAGAGGGGACCCTACTGCCCCCCTTCCAGCTCTCAGGGGTCCACGGTGCCATCAAGCCAGGTGGCATCACCCAGCACAGCTGCCCTGGAGTGCAGCTCAACGTGCTGGAGGGGTTATGGGGGAGACCCCCGCAGCCCCAGGGATGGGGAGATGACGCCTGTCACCCTGGGATGTGGATCTTGCTCCTGCCGCCTCCCACCTTGGGGTGCTCAGCCCAGCACCCCTGGCTCCCCCCTCCCCGCCGCGCCGGTATTTACCCACCGCCCGCTGCGCCTGGAACAGGCGCAGAAGCTGCGGTGAAATATTTATAGGTCCCTGGATGTGGCTGGGCCCCCCCCCATCTCCCCCCGAGGCCCCCCGGGCCCTGCCGAGCTGAGCTCAGCGCCGCTGCCCAGCGCCGCCCCCCCGCTAACCTGCACATCGCACCCCGTTCACACCGGGGGAGCCCGGACACCCCCTCCAGCCCCCCCGCGGGCAATATGGTTCCCAGCACAGCCCCCCCCAACATGGCCTCCCCAGCACGGCCCCCCCAGCATCGTCACCGCACCCCGAGCATCCCCCACTCCCCAGCATCCCCAGGATGGCTCCGCAACATTCCAGTGCGTCCCCCCAGTACGACACCCCCATCATCCTCAGTGAGGCCCCCTAGAACAGCGTCTCCAGCGCCCCCTCATTCACGACCCCCCATGCAGCCCCCCCGGCCTGGAGCATCGGCCCCCGCGGGGCCCCGGCCGTGGGGATCGGGATTCTCTTCCCGCCTGGTCCCGGTCCCGGCGGTACCTGCCGAGGCGGGGGGGACGAGAGCGGTGGCGGCGGCGAGGAACAAAGGGCCGGGAGGCGGCACAGCACCCCCCGCACCGGGCATGAACCCCGCACCGGGCACGGCCACCCCCCCCCCGAGGTACAGCCCCCTCGTGCGCCATCACCACCCCGAGGGGCGCAGCTCCCCCCCAAACCGCACGGCCCCCCCGATAACGCGGCCGGTACCGGAGCCGGTACCTCGTTGAGCAGGAAGGTAGCGCTGGAGTCAGAAAACGACATAGACGGGGCGAGCCGAGCCGAGCCGCCCCCCCCCCCCCCCCCCCCCCCCCCCCCCCCCCCCCCCCCGCCCCCCCCCACCGGCACCGGCTCCGGTTCCGGCTGCGGCTCGGGCTCCGGCTGGTCCTGCCCGCTCCGCCGCCACCGCCCCTCCCCGCCCCTCCCCGCCCCCGACTCCCAACGCCCCCCCGGGGCGCACGGAGCCGCCCCCGCCGCTCAGCCCGAGGGGGGGGTGGGTGGGTGGGTGTGTGTTGGGGGTCGCCGTTCCCCCTTCCTGGTGCTGGCGAGGGACTCCGACCCCTTTCCGGTGGGGACCGCGGAGGGAGCGGCGCTGGCAGCCGGGAGTCCCGAGCGGTCCCGGTGCGCTGCACCGGACGGGTCACCGGCGCAGCTCCCGGTGGCTCGGGGGGAGGGGGATAGTTTGCTAAGAGAGCTCTGGGTGAGAGGGGAGTCCCGGGGCAGCGGCGGAGGGGCTGTGCAGACTCCCGCAGCGCGCAGCTCGGGGTTCCGGGGCGGCGGCGGGGGGGTCCCGGTGGGTACCTCCATGCTCCGGTGCAGCGGCTCCGGTCCTGCCCCGAGCCGGCAGCAGCCCCGTCTGCAGGGCGAGCCCTGCGGCGGGGCCGGAGCCGCTCCCGCCCCCCCGCCGCGCCCCCCCCCCCCCCCCCCCCCCCCCCCCCCCCCCGCCCCCGAGGAGGGGGGCAGCGACGATCCCCGGGGGACCGGGCCGGCCCGCCCCGTTACCGCGCAGCGGGACAGGCCCGGGCGGGACTGGGACCGGCCCGGGACAGCTCATGGCCGGCCCAGGGACATCGAGGCAGCGCTCGGCGGGGTGGGGGCTTCGGACAGCGGCGGGACCGGCCGCGGTCACTTGCACCGGGCACCAGGCATTGAGCACCGGCCCCGGTACCGGGCACATGGCGGGGCCCAGCCAGGCCCTCTCCGAGGTGCTGAAGGGGCAGCGCCGGGTGCTGGGCCGGGTCGCGGGGTCCCTGGGGGTACCGGGGAGTACCGGAACAGAAGGCGCTGCCCCACGAGGGAAACGGGATGCTCGAGCCGTTTGTGCCTCCTGAGGCCGCCCCTACAGGAACCCCCCGCCCTCCGCGGGGCCTCCCCGGTACCCGCTCATCCGCCGGCGGCCGGGGAGGGGGCGCAGCTCGCGGCCGGAGGAAACTGAAGCACCGGCTGGGGGGCGGCGGGGAGGTCTGTGCCTCTCCCTGGCAGCACGAAGACCTGGCCCAGTGCCGGTTGAGGGAGCAGGAGGGGAGCCCTGCGGCCCCTTATACAGTCCCCTCCGGCCCGTTCCCCTTCCGCTGCCTCAGTTTCCCGGGGCCGCCCCCCGCGCCGCAGTGCCGGTGCCCGCCGCCGGCCCGGCCCTGACGCAGCACTCGCTATTTTTAGCCGCGGGGAGCGGCTGTTGCGATGCCACCGGCGCCCGGTGCCGGCGCCCAGCCCTGGTCCCGGGGGAGCGGCGGGGCGGAGGCGGCCCCGTAGCTCCCTCCAGTGCGGAGGTTGGGGTGGGAGATGCTCGGCCGCTCCCCACCCCAGATCCGTGCTTTAATGCGGAGCCACAGCAGCCGCGAGCCCGGGGCTGGCGGGGCTGCCCCGCCCCAGCGCCGGTGCCGGTGTCGGTGCCGGTGTAGGTGCCGGTGCCGGCCCGCTCACCTGCCTGCGGAGGATGCTGGAGGTGGTGTCGGACGAGGTGCTGCCGTCCGAGCGCTTGAAGCGGCTCTTGCGCTTCGGAAGCCTCCGGGGGCTCTGCGGCGAGAGCAGGCGGTGAGCACCGGGCAGCCCCGGGCGGAGCGGCGCGGCGCCCGCGGCGCTGCCACCGGCGGCCCCCGGCTCTGCGGACAGAACCGAACCGGGCCGCACGGGGCTCGCGACGGCGGGGAAGGCTCCGGTCCGCTCACCTGAAAGGAGCCGGAAGCGTCAGGCTGCGCTGGGGCGGACATCCCCGGCGGCACCCACCGGAGCCCCGGGGATCCCGGCGGGGCAGCCCCACACCGGACCGCGGCGCTCCGCGGGGAAGGGCCGCGCCGCCGCCGCTGCCGCGCTCCGCATCACACGGGGCCGCCGGGGCGTCCCGGCCGTCCCCGCCCCCGCCTGCCCGCCCCCGCGCCCATCCCCGTGGCGGCCGGTCCGCGCCCCCGCAGCTGGGCAGCCACCGGGAGGCACCGGGAACGGACCCTGCCCACAACCCGCAGTGCTGCGGTGAGCAGCCGCGCGGTACCGGGGAAGAGGAGCCCCCCGGGGCCGCCGCGGCCCTGCCCACGCGTGTGCAGGGATGCGAGAGCCCGAGCCCCTCCACCCGCATCCTACCGGGACGGCTCTCGTAGTCACCGTGCCCATTCCACAGTATTTTTTGCCACCCCCACGCCGAGGCATCATCCCCCCACACGGGGTTACGCCCCAAAAGACCCGCGCGTGGGGCATATGGGGCCGTGGGGGGACGCAGCCCCCCCACCCCACGCCCCGTGTCCCCGCCGTGCCCACGGTGGCGGCCGGTTCCGGTGCTGCAGCATCACTGGACCGGAGGGGTAGAAGGGGACCACGGGCCGGGGCTGCACTGGGAGCCCCACGGAGCCCCAGCGTGGGCCCCCCCATCCCCCGCGCGGCGGGACTTCCGCGTGGGGCCGCAGGGACACGGCCCCGCCGGCGGCTCCTAATTAATGATTAATCAGCGCTCCCCGGGGCCCGGCGCCGGGGCGGGGGGGAGGGGGTGCGCGGCCCGGCGCCGCCGCTGCGGGGGAGGGAAGGGAGGGCACGGGAAGGTTCTGCCACGGGGGGAGGGCAGGGCCGGTCCCCCGCTCACTCGTGGGGTACGGGGGGGTAATGAGGGGGTGCCCCGTGCCAAGCTGGGCGTGAGGTTGCCTGGAAATGTGAGGGCATCTGCAAGGTGGAGGGAGTGTATGTGTGTGCATACAAGGGGAGCTGTGAGTGTGTAAGGAGCGTGTAAGGAGTGTGTAAGGGTGAGGGTGCGTGAGCGGGGCTGTGGTTGTGTCAGGGGTGCATAACGGGGTGCGTGCAAGGACTGTGTGTATGGAGGTGGGGGCGGTGTGTGTAAGGGTTGTACATGTGTAAAGGTGTGTGTGCAAGGGGCGAGTGCACGTGTGTGTGCAAGGGAGCGTGTATGAAAGTGTGTGGGATGTGGATGAGGGAGCTGTGTGCCCCTGCGAGTGTCTGGGTGTGTGCAAAGGGTGTGTGTGCGAGGGCTGTGTGTGCACCTGCACCTGCACCTGTGTGCACGCCCGCTGTACCTAAGGGGCGCACAGGTGTGTGAACACGAGAAGCCGTGTGTTTGCACATAAATATAGAGGGGCTTATATGTGAGTGCATAACGGGGCTGCCTGAGTGTGCAAGGGAGTGTGTACGTACAAGAGCGTGCAAACGTGCAAGGAGGGTCGGCATGTTCAATATCTGTGTGTGCGGCATGAAAACGTGTGTGCAATGGTTTTTGTTCGTGTGCGTGTGCAGGGGGATGTGTGTGCGTGCAGGGGGGGTGTGCAAGGCGGTGGGTGCGTGCCAAGAGTCTGCAGGGGGATTTGTGTGCGTGTGAACACAGATGTGTGTGCAACACGCGTGTGTCGGGTGTGCAATGTGTGCGTGAGCAAGGGAGCAGCGGGATGTGCGCGGAGAGGGTGTGCAGGGGGAAGGCACTGGGGGCACTGGGGTGGGCGTGCAAATGACACATTCGGGGGGGACTGTGAGGACACGGGGGGCCCGGCCGCGCGTGTCCCCGCTGTCCCCGCCATGTCGGTGCGTGTGTTCGTGTCCGTGCGCGTGTGCGCAGCCCCGGGGGTGCGAGTCCGCCCCCACCGCTCCGGGCCGTACCGGGCCGTTCCCGCCGCCGCCGCTGCGCCTTTAAGGCCGCCGGCCGGGAGCGCGGGGGGGCGGGTCCGGGCGGGGGGGGGCCGGGGCTGCGCGGCCGCGACCGGGACCGGGGCCGCCACCGCCACCGGGGGCCCGGCCTGGGCGCGGGATGGGGCGGCGGGGACGCGACGCGGCCGCCGTGTAGGAGCGGGCGGCGGCGGGGCCGTGGAGGGGCGCGGGGCCCCGCGGGCGGCAGCGCCGGAGGCGGAGGTGAGCGGGGCCGCCCGGGCGCACCGGGAGCGGCGGGAGGGGCGGAGGGGGGGGAGTGGATCAGGGCGGCGGCGGCGTCGGAGATCGGAACCGGGACCGAGATCAGGATCGGGACTGGGACTAGAACTGGGATCAGGGCGGGGGGGCGACACCGGGCCGGGCCCCGGGCGGCGGGAGCGGTGCGGCCCCGGGGGGCTGCGCGGTGCTCGAGGGGGACCGGTGCGGCGGGAGCTGCTGGTGCGGTGGGAGCGTCCGGTGCGGCGGCCGGAGGGCGCTGGTGGGTCCCGGTGTACGGGCCGGGCTCGGCGGAGCTCCCGTGCCCGGAGCGGGGAGGGAGGGAGGGAGGCAGGGAGGCGGCGGCCGCCACCGCGGCCGGCCCTTCCCGGTGGCCGTTTTCCACCGCCGCTCGCCCGGGGCAGGGACCGGCTGCCACGTCCCGGCTGGTTCCCGGTGCCCCGGGGCGGCCGTGCCCGTACAGCCCGTTGGCCGTCGTTCAAGACAAACAGGGCCGGGACGCCCGGGTCGGTCCCAGCTTTGTCGCAGGTCGCTGCACCGGGAAGGGCGGGCTCGGGGCGGCCTCGGCAGGGCCACGCACTGGGCACCAGGACACTGGGCACCGGGACAACGGGAACCCAACAGCGGGAACCCAGCGCTGTGCACCAGGATTCTGGTTCCGGGCACCCAGCACCCGGACACTGGGGCACGGCGAACCCAGCACTGGCTGTTCCCACAGGGGCCATGGGGCTAGTGGGAGAGCTGGGACTTGGGCTCTGCATCCCCCAGGGTGGTGGTGGGGACATCAGGACTCTCCACTCCTTGCACGGCCTTGCACCCCCGTGGACACCAGGGCCCCTCCTTGGGTGTCAGGGTGGGGGTCCAAGCGCTGACCCCTCCTTGGTACCCACAGCATGTCGTGGTTCAGCGGC